ATCAGATATAAGTACTACTACCTCAGTACTGATTCAATCCTCTGCTTCATCTAACCTTCTGCTTATTCCTTCCAGTATTTTATTTCAGATATTATATTCTTTATTTCTGACTGGTCCTTTTTTATGGTTTCTATGTCTTTTTTCATATTGTTGAGTAATCTTATAATCATTACCCTAACCACTCTATCTAATAAATTGCTTGCCTCCATTTCATCTAGTTCTGAAGAATTCTCTTATTCTTTCATCTGGGGCCTCTTTTTTGTGTCTTCCCATTTTGGCTGCCTCTTTGTATTTTCCACCTTAGTTGTTAAGCTAATTGGCTGTTAAGCTGATTAGCTGTTAAACTAATCAGGCTGTGATTAGCAGCACAGTTTCAACTTCACAGGGCGGGGCAGATTAATTCCTGTGGGCAGAGCTATTGCTTCCCCTAAGGCATCAGCCACTTGGAAAGGAGGGCTCTGCCTGAGAAAGACAGCTTCTGCACTATGGGGAATGATGCAGCACAGAGATCATGGTGGCTGTTCCCTCAGTTCTTTTCCCAGAGCTACCAACTACAGACTGTCTTCAATCATCTCTAGTCTACTCTGCCCTCCCACTCCCAGAGCCCAGGGTAAGTGGCTACAAATGAAATTTTGTGCTTTGGCCCTTTAATAGGTTCTCTGCATCTCCAGCCATCTCTCTCTGGCAGAGAGAAACCCAGCTGCTTTTCAGAGCTAGATGCTATCTGTGTTTCATTCTGCTCTGGTGCTGTAGGCTGGGGAGCCCAAGTTGGGGACCAGACCCCGCACTTCTCAGTGGGAACCCCCTGGCTTCTGAAATATCTTTCTGGAACTTCGGCTGCTGCCTGTGGACACCCAGCCAGCCCTCTCGCACCTCCTCTATAACCTATCATTCCTGTTCCGACAAAGTGACTTTTTAGTCTTGGTTGTTCAGGATGACTTTTCTGTAATTTAGTTGTAATTCTAGATTAATCCTGGAAGTTAGTGTAGCTTCCACTTATTCCTTGGCCATCTTGGAGAATTAGAATAATCACTTTAAAAAGGAAAAATCATGAAACTAAATGATTATTTTAGACAAGAAAAAAGTCTCATGTTAATAACCTCAGCTTCTACCTTAAGAAGCTAAAAAAATTTAAAAATGAAACATAAGAAGCAGAAGAAAAATATGATGTTGGTCAGAGGACAATTCAATGAAACCAAATATAAAACAATAGAAAAATCATGTGAACAATGTTGAAACCAGAAAAATAGAGGTTAAAATAGGGACTGCCTTAAAGAGATTTGGCCTGGAGGCAGAAACCACAAGGAAATTAAGAAAGAACATAGGGAGTGGAGAAGGCGGAACTACAAAACCAATGGGGTTGAACAAGTAGAGGACTGAACAGGTGTTCAAGTGTCTAGATTAAAATGTTTCCATTACTCAAAACCCAGAAAGCTTAGGTCATGTTGCACCACCCGGGTAGCCAGTAGCTAACAGCCACATTTGCTTCTATACAATGCTTGCTTGCTCACGTCTATAAAAAGACTTAGCTGTAAGCGCTAGAGCAGCTCTCGTTTGCAGCTCTTATGAGCACCGTGTCTCCGGACACTCTGAGGGTCCGCCCCTGCGCAGGTTAAAACTTTGGCCAATAAAATAACATCTCTGAATCCTGAAAGTTTCTGACAATTTGTCTCTCACGTTGGTGGATGCAACAAATGATAACCGGTTCTTTGAGAAAATCAATACAATTGGTAAAACTGGATAGATCAGGAAATATAGAAGTAAATTGCCAGTATCAGAGGGTTGAGGTCACTACAGATTCTGCAAATATTTAAAGGATAAAATGAAAATATTTTGAACAGCTTTATACCAATAAATGTATCAACTTGGGTGACAGAAAAAATTCTTTGAAAGGCACAAAGTACTAAAGTTTACTTTAAAGGGAATAGACAACTTGAATAGCCTTATATCTATTATAGAATTTAAATTTGTAGTTAAAAACTTTCTCAATTATCACTCATCAGATATACTTGATGCATAAAACTCAAACTGTTATTGAGTAGAATTTAAATGACATAAACCAGAAGCAAAAAGTTTATCTTTGGAGGCTAGGTAAACAATGTAAGTGAATGATGTAAAATAGTTATAGAAAAAAAGAACTGCCAAAAATACAATAAAACTTTATTTTCACTGAACCATGGTATATACAGAAATGTAAATTAATATAAACATATGACAGCAAAAGTTTTATTGTAATTTGAAAGTAAAACTTAAGGTCAATGAGTAATTATTAATTAATTATTAATTCTATTTCTTGTGGTGTTTTTGGTTTTTCCCTGGAATCAGAAACGTGATTCCTTTTCTTTTGCCCTTAAATATTACTATATTTAAATATCCTATGACATTGTGGACAATTTTAAATATTTTACTTTAAATTATTAGCATTTAATTTTATACAGATTCATAATAGAATAATTATTGACCAAAATAGGCATTTCTATATGTGGATAGAATTCTTATACAATGTGCCCTTCCTTCCTCTCTTTACATGGTTGATTCATTTTCATTCCTCATTTCTCAAAGTTAAATTTTCCTCTTCGGAAGTGCCTTTTTCCATTATTTCTCATTCTTCTATTTTCTTAATAGTATTTTTAAGTACTAGTAGCTACATTTTTTTGTTAACCTGACACTCATCTTTTCTACTGGACTATAAATTCCATGGGGGCAGGGTCTCTGTTTTCCTCTTCATTATTGTATACCAGTATCTAACTTCATGCCTAAATTACAGTGCGAGCTCAGTAAAGAATTGAAGAAAGAAAAAGAAGCCCTGGCTGGTGTAGCTCACTGGATTGAGCAGGGGCCTGTGAACCACGCGATTATGGTTCAATTCCCAGTCAGGGCACATGCCTGCGTTGCAGTTCAGTTCCCAGCAGGGGACCCATGAGAGGCAACCATACATTGATATTTCTCTCCTTCTCTCTCCTTCCCTTCCTCTCTAAAGATAAATAAAATCTTTATAAGAATTGAAGAAAGAATAGATAAAATCTACTAAGCTCTGGCCAGAGGGCAGGACTGAGGGCCCATTTATCTTGGTCAGTGATGATGTGAGACCCAGTTAAATTCTTACTCCAAATGGAGAAAGATAACAGAAAAAAAAACTTTTCAGAGGAATATTTGGGAGCATTATCAGAATTTAAGTTGGACACATACTTTGACCAAACTGTTGAACTTTCAGTAATGTATTCTGTAAAGATTCACAATATGTATACTCATATTGAGTATGAGTATACTCAATATGTATGAGTATACATATTGAGTATGTATGAAGCAGCAATTCCTTTGAAGCAGCAATTCCTTTCCTATGTGAGAAGTCAGACAACCAATCATGTGGAGATGCATTCTCATTACAATGTCATTTGTAAAAGAAAAAAATAGAAGTTGGAAATTAGCTAAATGTGCTAGAAAATTATTTAAGTAAATTCAGAAATATTCATCAATGAGATGGTATGCAAGCATTAAAATTAAAATATATAACTGTATTATGTTATAATTAAAAATTACAGTGAAAATAAATTTACAATATATTGTTAAGTGAAAAAATATTAAATGACATGTATATAGTAATTACTCCCTTTTTGTTTAAAAAAATAATTAATAAATGCATATGGGCGTGCCCAGAAAAATATTTAGAAGGATATATGGGATGCTGCTCATAGTCATTCTTTCTGGCTAGTGGAATTTCTAAATTTTTTGAGATAGTTGTTTATTGTTACAAGAAACATGCATTAATTTTAGAATAATTTCTAAAACAAATACATATATTTCTATTTGGAAAAAAAACTTCTTAAGAAGATTACTCCACTTCTCTTAGGAATATACTTGAATGTCTCCCATGCCGTCCAATCAGAAATTTCTTTTACCTTATGACCCAGTGATTCCACTTCTGGGACTATATCTGAAGAAACCCACAACACTGATTTGATAGAGCATATTCACCCCTATGTTCATTGCAGCATTATTTACAATAGTCAAGATCTGGAAGCAGTACCAGTGCCCATCAGCAGATAAGCGAATAAAAAAGATGTAATACAGTTACACAGTGAAATACTACTCAGCTGTAAAAAAAAAAAAAGAAGGAAATCTTACCTTTTGTGACAACATGGATGAACCTGGAGAGTATTGTGTGAAGTTAAATAAGTCAGTCAGAGAAAGACAAATAGTGTATGATTTCACTTACATGTGGAATCTAATGAACAAAATATAAACAAACTCATGAGACAGAAAACAGACCGAGAGCTGTTGAGGGGTGGGGGTTTGGGGGCCAGGTAAAAAAATGAAGGGATTAAAACAATCCTCATAGACATAGACAACAGTGTGGTGTTCACCAGAGGGAACCGTTGGTAGAGGGAGGTAGAAGAGGGTAAAGGGGATAAATGGAGATGGAAGGAGATTTGACTTGGTGTGATGAACCCAATACAATATACAGATGATGCTTTATAGAATTGTACACCTGAAACTTATGTAATTTTATTACCAATGTTACCCCAATAAATTCAATTAAAAAAAATTTCTCCCAATTTTAGGGTGTTTCACCTTGGTTAGAAAAGTGAAATTGTTTTTTTTTTGTTTTTTGTTTTTTTTCAAATTATATTTTATTGTTTGTGTTATAACAGTTGTCCCAGTTTTTCTCCCTTTGTCCCCCTTCACCCAGCACCTTCCAATCCCTTGGATAAGCCCCACACCACTGTTCATGTCCGTGGGTCATGCATAGGTTCCTTTACTGCTCCATTTCCTATACTGTACTTTATATCCCCAAGGCTCTTCTGTAACTACCTATTTGTACTTCTTTTTTTAATCTATTTTTTTATTTTATTGATTATGCCATTACAATCATTCTATTCCCCCTTCATTAAAAATTGACTTTTATTCTTCTTCCAATATGTTCCAGAGCACACTTAATGCTTGAAATATCTTTTTTAACTTCACTGAGTATTATCCGTGAAGTTGCAACATCAGCAAGCTCAATTTACAAACGCAATTTTATTTTACATTTTACCTTTAGACATTTTAAAAGTGAATGCAAATAACTAATTCAAATAACTAATTTTCATGACATTACATTCAGTGTCCAAGAATGTAAGCCCTGGACAGCAGGTATGCCACCACCCCACCAACAAATGATGAGATTGTCACTCTGTCAAATCATGCTGTGTCATATGTAGAGATTTTGTTTTCCTTCACAATCTTCTTCAATCAGAGCTGAATCATAGTCCTGCTAGTTTACAGGTTCTCTGTTTGCACGAATCAATCCAAACAGTCTAACAGGGTCATCATGAATGTTTTCCTCTACTGCCTGGCTGTCGGGTGGGAAAGCGTCCACCAGACTAGTCTTAGAAAGGCTGGTGTTTGCTCCATGTGGCAGCTCATCTTCATTCTTGTCCGACAAATAAGTATTTTCCTTCCTGGGCTTTCTGCGCTTCCCCTCACAGTTGTGATTCAGTTGGGCGTAAAACATCTGCGTTTCACCGATTGCCTAAAAAGAAAGGTATGTTTATTTTTCATTGTTGGTCCATTCTTGCACTTTGATCACTTCTGGGAAAGGCAAGAAGCTTGTTTTCTGGACTTCAGCTACCTGGTTATGACAAATTTGTCAGAATGATGATAAAAAGTAGCAGTCAACTCAAGATTTTTTAGTGAAAAACAGTGCTTACATAAATTTTTTGTTTGGGTAGTTTTATTTCTTTCTTATATTTAAAATATATATATACATTTAGATAAATGCTTACCTGCCCCTATTCTGCTTTTACCTTAGGGAGCACTTGACCTATGTTGTTCTTACCAAGTAACTTAATAAGTGGTCATTTAATGGCATCCACAAAAGTCCCCAATTATTCTACATTTTTGAGATTCAGAAATATAAAAATAACAGTGTTGACTTATATGACTAATATTTGGCAATAAATATATTTCCCATTGTTATTATTTTCTTCCTCCTGATTACCCCTCAGGTCCCTTTGAGCTTATTTTGAGTTGGCCTTGGAGATATTTATTTACATCTAAGAGGGTCTGGTAGTTCTCTCTGGTCTAGAGCTGGGTCAGCACTAGAACAGGAAGAACCGGAGACTAGGGGAACTTGGGGAAGCAATAGGCTGAAAAGCAAGACCTTGAATTTGGTGATGGAAATCTGAGGATTGAATTCCAGCTCTGTAATGTGCTAATCATGGCATCTTGTGCTGTTTAAAAAAACTATTCTGAGTCTCAATTTTCTTACTTATAAAATGAAAGTACCTAAATCACAGTGTTCTGAGTAAAGAAAGATAATATATATGGAAGCTATGACCATTGTACAAAGGTAAGGTGTGGGATTATACTTATTAGAATTTACAGGCTAAAACTTTGGGACAGCTACTGAGTAAACCAAAAATTTCTGTATTAAGGATTTACTTAATGATTAGGCCAAATTATATCAATTTGTGAGGGCAGGGATAAAGAAGCAATATTGGATTAACTAAATCCCTAAAATATTATATATTCTACCGGGCAGAAAAGATGGTCCTACTTACAACTTCTCTGGTAATTTTGTCTGACTTGCTATTCCCAAAGTAATCATTTCTGGAAAAATTGCAATAGCTACCTAACAGGCATCTTTACTCTAGTCTCTTCCCTCTGCCAGTTAGCTTGTACATTGTATTCAAATTATCTTCCTAGGGCACAACTTTCATATTTTTACCATCCTGTCTCCAAAATTTTAGCCTATATAATAAAGTTTGAATTTTATAACCTGATATTCCAGGTTTTCCATGCTTGATACTCCTCCTACCGCATGAATTCTGTGTTTCAGGCAAATGGAACAATTCACTGCTCCCCTGTACACACCTTGTACATTTAGCTCCTTTGTCTTTGCCCAGACAGAAGGAGAAGGGGATGTCACTGATGTTCAGAAATAACCAGAAGACACTCAGTATTATGAAGGAATAGATATCTGTTGTGTCTGTCCAGCACTTTGTTTTATTCTTTTTTTAAATAATAAATTCTTCATTTTCCTTTGGGAAAGTCCTCTGCTTTACCTGGTCCTAGATTAAAGTACTGTACCCCAGGGCCAGCATAGGACTAAGCATATGATATAGGCTGGAACCAATCACACCATCCATCCCCTGGCAACAGGAGTTGGCCCAAGAATAGATGACATGTGGTTTCAGGAGAGCCAATTATATGGCACGTTTGGGATTGATGTACAGGTACAGGAACAGAGTATGTGTTGTTTCCTGGAGCTGAGAGGGAGAAAACCTGGGACTTGCAGTGGCTTACACAGCCTCAGTGGAAGAGTCTGTGGTAATAGAAGAGAATGAAGCCAGTAACAGTAGAAAGCAGGGAGGGAAGAGAAACAAAGAGAGCCCTTGTAGTCAGTCATCTCAAAAGCAAAACACACCCTTACTGCTCGCTGTCATGTGACCAGTGATGTTCCTTTTATGCTAAAGTGGTTTGAATTGAGTTTCACATTTATAGCTTAAAGCATTTCAATAATGTATGTCTGATCAACAATTGGACAACTTTATCAAGTGCTTCAGAGTTCAAAAACTGTGACCCTGGGAAAGAACCAAAAATTGTACCTGGCACAGTCACTGTGGTTTCCCAAGTTACTTTAGTTGAGTGTATGGGTGGAAAATACAGAGCCAGGGGTAAAAGAATGGATGTCCATGGAAAGAAATGAAAATAGTAAAGGAAAGTAAAAACCAGTTTAGGAGTTAGAGAGATAAACAAGTTGAACTCAAGTTTTGTTTTGTTTTTAAATATTGGGATGATTAGTGCATATGGGTAGGTAAATAGAAATAGTTTGTTAAAAATTGATTTTAGAGAGAGAAAAAGGATGATGTGAGAGAGAGACATTGATTGGCTTCGTCCCATATGCCCCCAACCAGGGATCAAACCCTCCAACCTAGTCATATGCCCTTACTGGGAATCAAACCTGCAACCCTTCAGTGTACAGAATGACACTCCAACCAACTGAGTCACCCAGCCAGGGCAAAATAGTTTTAAAAAGTAAAAAATGGAGACAAATAATTTAATGTTTAAGATCTTGAAATAAATAGAAGAAATGGTCAAGAGCATAAGGAGTAGTACTGGCTTTGGAAAGGAGAGAGGGTGTCTCTGACATAGGAGGGAGAGACAGGAGAGATTTTGACATGAAGATAAGAGAAGAGGAGCAAGCTCACACTTGTGCCCCTCAAATGTTTAAGGATATGAGAATTCTCAAGGACTCATTTTATTATTAGGTTTGCTAATAATCAAACTCTGCCTAGTTAAAAGAAGACTGAAATACTAAAATTACAAGTTCTGAACTGTATATATTATTTTCGAAGGGCAAGAAACTTATTTTCACTTTTCCAACAAACGCTTCACCCATCAAGCTTTATGCATAATATCACAGATTCCTTATGCTTTTGTAATGGACTATAGCAACAGAGTAAGCATTATAGTAGCAAACTGGGCAGTGTTTTAAAGATAATGATCATTCTAATAAAATGGAATTGTGCAAATATAAAGAAATTACTTCTAATTTGTGAAGCTAAATTTGTGAGAAGGGTGTCATAGAATGAAAATGAATCTCCTTAGAGTATCTTCAGTCTTATAATTTATAAAATAGCAGGCATTTAAGGACATTTTAAGGCTTTGCACAATTTCCAATTTAGTGAAAACCCAATGTAACTCTAATAGAGCTGGCCTGTTCAATATGTATGTATTAAAAGTAACTTCTGTTCCAAATTCTCAGTTTTTTTTACAGCTAAGGTGCTACGAATCTCTCTACATTTTAGAAGGGAAGTATTTAGTGGTTATATTTTAACCCTATTTTAGAGGTGTTCCTTTTGTTATCATGTATTTAGCTGGTCATATTATAACATGTCTTTTCATACCTTCTGTCTAAAATGACATTTTATAATTAATTGGACATAGATGACAGATTTGCCCATTACAGAGCAACTTTACATTTGCTTAAATCTCACCACATCTTGCTTTCTTAATAAAAATTTCAAGAATGTTGATTGTGTACGGAATTTGTATAGATAAAAATTCCACCTTATTGAGAAGTATCAAGATGGGACCCATCTCAGGAAGGGGAATATTTTCTGTTGGACAGGACTAAGTTTAGATTCTGCCTCTCCACCTAGGACCTGAGTGCTCTAGGGCAAGGGTTTCATTCTTTTCAAGACTGTTGAATGGGAATAATAATGCTGCCTCCCTCATAGAAATCTGAGAAGATAATGCATATAAAGGCATAATACCAGGTCTGACACATAACAACTGCACTGAAGATACTGAACCCATGGCTAATTCTAGACAGTAGCAAGAATGCACATCGTTGGAGGAACAAATCTGACAGAAGAATTAATAAGAACTATTTTAACTAAATGTATACTTTAGCAGCAGGTAGGCTAAGAATTGTGAACAACTTTTGAAGTTAGTCTAAGAAGGTTGAGCTGATTGTGGTAGAAAAAAAAGCCATTCATATCTTCTGAGGTTTTTATACATTTTTGTTTAAACTATCGCCCTGCCTATTGCCAATTACTGTGTGTCAATCTCTTGCCGCAAGACCAAAGACATAGGGCTCGTCTGAAAATTTATACACATTTGCCTTGTAAAATAGAAGTATGGTCTTTTACATCCAGCTAATTTACCTTTTAACTTAAGTTCTCTCTCTCTCTCCCCTTCCCCCCCCTCCCCATAAATTACTAACATCTAGGTCTTTGAGCATTATGCATGTGTCAACTTTTATGTTTATCTCTGTGACACAATTTTTTCAATCTGAAAGTAAAAAGCTTAATTGATTACTTAAGAAGAAAACCAGCTTTTTCATTTAAATCTATTGCCTTTGTAACTGCACACAATTTTGACCGTTTGAATGTGGGTCTGAGTAGTGTTTACTGGACTTTGAGTTTACCTTTAGAGCTCAGGTCCCAGAACTTGACACATTCAGACTGCAAAATTTCTAATGGCTGCTTTAGTTGTGCATCAGAATGCATTGCTTTTCTGCTCTTAAAACCTGCAGCTGTGCTGTGCTCTAAACTAAACTTGACCCCTGATGCAGAAAACAGAACTCACCTGTGCAGGTGGGGCGGCTTCTTGCAGTTCATTCACAGATCTCTCTGGTCGGGCTTTCATTTGTTCATAGCAGTTTTCATCCGTTGGTTCTTAGGAGTTGAAAAGATTGTGATTCACGATGGAAAAACACAATATGCTGGCACAAGTAAAACTACATGACCCAAACGACATTTAGCTATCAATGTAAAACCCACAAGAATCATTTAACTTGTCTTTTGTCATGAAGATACAAAGAGGTGACCTGTTCTCTGCAGGTCAGATGGTGAAGTCTTTTGTCTCACAGTGTTAACAACAAGTCAAGAGGAGGTCACTTGGGATAAAAACTAAATCACAGTCATTTGTAGGCCAGGACAATCTCAAACTACCATTTAGATGTTATAGAGATCCCATGAGTTAAATTTTTGCCTGTGTTCTCTTCTCTTTAAGTACGATTGCAAATGATGCATGGTGACATAAGGCGCAAAACAGGAGGGAAAATTCATTTCAATAGTTCATTCCTGAAAAGCAGTTCCTGATTCTTCAAAGTGCAGGGATTAGAGGGTACTTGACAATGGAAGAAAGACTACAATTATATAAATTACAGAATCCTATAAAACTCTCACATTCCTAACTCTAGGAGAATTCCACATCATTTTGGTATGTGGAGAGTCAGATCAAATCAGTCCATTTGTTTGAGACAGAGATCCACAGGAGCTCAGCTCCAGCTTTCCTGCTGGGAATTGAAGTGTGTGCAAGGCAAGGATGAGCTTAAATGCTGGCATCACCCTCCTGGATTCTCTCATCACAGCTCTGGAATCTGCTCACAGTTGTCTGTTTTGAGGAATTTGGGGTGTTCTCTTTTTGGGTGGTTGGGATGTTTTAAGTAATAACATGTTGGGAATTGATGAATACCCGTCACCTAAGAAAAACATATATAACCCACTCGGTGATGACTCAGATCTCTTCCCACTTGCTGTCAAAATAGCCCTAGGTTCTGTACTTGCAGAGAATGAGTTAAAACATGGAAAACCAGAAAATGCATTCATTACTTCAGATATTTTACTGTAGATTTGCTTTTATATAGGCTGCACAGAGCACTGTTTCCCTGGGTGGGTTATTTTCTGTTCTAGAAATAGCATTTCAGAGAATTCTGTATGTGCCAAAATTCATGGAATAGAGCCTCCCTGCATTCTCATTACTACTAGAGTGAAGTGGAGAGCATGTGGAAGCAGGATGTTAATTAACACCTAATGTTATGACGCATTTATAATGTGTGGTTTTAGATTTAAAAGAATATGTTAAATATATGTGAATATATGGTGATCACTGGAGTATTTAAATGTGGTTGTGATGAAAAATAACCTGCCTCAAATTCTTTGCGGAATTGAGTAGGAGGTGGGTGTACTAATTTATAGGTAAGTTAATTTCTGACTAAATGAAACTTACCTGAGGCCACCACGTTATTTAAGTTACCATATATTGGTGTATCTTCAATATAATACTCATCTTCCCTATAATAAGGAAAAAGAAAGGATCAGAATCCACTTTACACATAGTTTTTAACTAATTTCTCAATTAAATTCGATATCGGGTAAACTTGTTCAGCCTTGGCCAATTAAGGTAGAAACATTTATGCGTGATTGAGTGAATCCAAGTGTGAAAGCATGCCTGCATCCATGTGTGTATGAATTTGAAGAGTTATTTTTTGGAACTTCTTTCCTGAAATAACGATAGTTATTTACTTACTTACTTAGCACTTACTTACAAGTACTTACTTAGCACTTAACTGTTTGTCAGATGCTACTTGAAGTGAATTTTGTATAATCATTTATTCAATTCTTATTCGAATCTGACCAAATAAGCACTATAGCACCCCTATTTTAAAGGCAAAGAATTTGAGGCACAGAGAAGGCACATATTTTCTGAAGGTCATGAGAGTAGTGAAGGGCAGAACTGGGATCAGAACCTAAGTTATCTGTGCACCTAACAACATATTGTGCTGCCTGTTTACTTACCCAGACATTCACTCTGAACAACCTAAAACTATGTTTACTAAGTAACTATTAATTGACAGGGATGGTTAAAAAATAAAAGGCCAAGAAAATATTGGCAGATGCAATAAAGTGATTGATTGCCTATTATACCCAGATGCTGTGCTGTGTTACATACATTATATCAAAGATCCAGCAAAATTCTACCCAAATCCTATTATCACTCCCCACTTTCCATACGACAAGTCTAAGATTCAGATAGATTAATGTATTTTGCCCACCCTTATGTAGAATATCAGCAATAACTACCAATTACTAAAGCTTTTTGTTATGTCTGTGCTCATTCAACCTTCAGATGTATTTTGTTTTTATCCCTACTGTGCATAAAAGGAATCTGCAGTTCACAGAGGCAAACTCTCCAAAGACACATAGACAGTAGCCGGCAGTGCTAGGATTGTGAATCAAGTCTGGTCTTAAAGCCCTGAATCTTATTTGCTCTTGATGTTTGATTAAGTTTCCTTACAGCCTCCTCTCAGTAATCCTATAAGGGTTACAGCAGCCATCCCAGCATTGTCACATGACCCTGGTAACCAGCTTCCACAACAGCAGCCTGGGAATAGGGACCCATCAGGCAGTGAGAGGGACATTTCATAACCCTGCTTTAACTTTGATATTACACATCACCAAGAGCTGGAGGGAACTGCAACAAAAGAAAAAAGAACGCTTATCTCAAGGCATTACTAGTGGTGCTTCTGAAAGGAGACAGTGAATATAAATAGCAAGTAGATGTCCTTAAAAAATTACAGATCAAATGATACCTGGGCAAAATAGTTTGAAAGTCCAGATGCTGGCATGTATTTTGCTTATCTTATAACAAAGGAACTCATACATAACCCTTTTTTCCATCCATATTTCAACAGCTTAATATTGGGATACAGAAGGGACCCTGTTCGTGGTTTTCCTCCGGCTATGCAGAGAATATAATAGCAAAAGGTAAAGAATTTTTAATAAGACAATCCATCTATTTTTCTAGCCCACACAGATAGCAGATACAATCTGCAAATGATAAATCATGTTTAAAAAGTGAACATCATTTCATTGTTATGAATGAAAATAAGATGTGATTTATAATGCAGTGCCCTGTGTCTACAGGCAGGTCTCAAACAATTAATCATCTCAAATGAAATATTATTCAGAAGCAGTTATCTAACAAATTTATATATATATATAACATATATATATAAATTTGTTATATATTTGTTATAATATATATTAAGTAATATATATTACCTAACAAATATATATGTGTGTGTATATATATTTAACAATGCCAAATAGCTTCAGCCTATTGTAAATATTTAATAAACTTCAAGCACAAATATTTGGCAATGTTTTTAAGTAGAAGATTAATTACTATTAAAAATAAATTCATAAATAAGCTTAGATCCCAGAGGCCAGTGTACTTCTGAGTTCTTGGCTAGATCAGATTCTCTATTGCCCAGAAAAATGTCTGAAATAGTCCTCTAACCAATAAGCACATTTTATGACACTCCACAATTTAAAATAATATTGTCTTTTACTAGGGTCCATATTTTATACTTTTACATATATTTTCTCTAGTTTATATTTTAAAGTTGTTATTTACATTTTACTATTATTTTATTGTGAAGTCCTTTCTAGAAAAATGTCTTAATACTTTATTGTCTAAGTAGATTAAATAATTAAATTCAATTTTTAAAAAGCCATTACTTCTGCCTGGGTGACTTTGGGCATAAATTCTGAGTTATGTTTCTAATTTATAAATCATGGATGTTAAACTATTTAGCTCCTATTGTTCTTTTCAATTTCAAATTGCATTATATAAATGTAACATTCTAATATCCAAATACAAATGAAAGATATTTCTACAAAACTAAATAAAGGCATTTTAAAGGACTGGAAAGTTGTCGTAGTGCAGAAAGAGCAAGCTGAGGGTCTGTCAGAAATTGGTTTGGGTGTTAATGTGATCTGCTTAATAGACATTTCTATGAATCAGCAGGTATATGTTTGGGCTCTGCAAGTGTATAAATGTTATAGAAAGCCATGGCTACTTTTGGATCTCAAAATGCATAATCAGAAATAGACAAATTGTGAAATATATATATATATATAAATATGTGAATTAACATGCCAACCACTTTTTATAGATAAAATCTGCATTGTATAATCAGTTTTTGCCTGCATGAAGATTTGTTACAATAGATTGATTATTAAACCCTGGAGGGAATCTGCATCTTTCCATCTCTACTGTTCAGTGAAACTCTTATTTGTTGAATGAGTTATATTAAATGTTATAAAAGAACCAACCTCTTTTCTGCATTTTCCCTATAGCTAAGAGACTGTTTGCGTTCAGATAGGTATTTTATTAATTTTCCCTTCTGACTTTTACCATCTTCATCCCCAAACTACCAACCCAGTCTTCAGCAAAATAATCAATCAGAAGACTTTCTATCATTTTGCATCTTAATTGCCCTCAAATGACAAGTATCAAATCAATCATCAGATTAATTTATACATAATGATGTAGGATTTTCTTTGTTACGAAGTCAGCAAATTACTCTTGATTTGAGCTAATGACTTGAATATTATGTTACAGAATCCAAGGCAAAGAGCACTCAGAAAAACAAGTTCTGTGGGTGGACTGCCTACAGCCCAGAGCCGGGATCTGCCAGAGACATGCCCATGTGGAGAAGAAAACAACAGACCCTTCGGAGACTTATAATCTTATCCTACTGACTGACAACAATAAAAAAAGAAAATTAAATAAATTAATCTACATCATAAATTTAAAAAAATCTTATCCTACTGACTGAGAAAGCTCTGTGCTTTTGAAAGACCTTTAAGTCTATCAGTCTACCATTTCACGAAGGTCTTGAAGAGTCCTCAGTGCAATTCTCTGTATTTAGACTTTTTCATCCAAAAGAGAAATCTCCATTCTAATGAAACATTGGGGTCAGAAGATACTGTCTAAGAAAATGAAACTCTTCACTATGATTCACACCACAAACCTTTTGTAAAAAAAAAAAAAAGGAGAAGAAGAAGCATCATACTATACAATTTCTCTCTAACTAGCTATTGAGCTGGTATTAAAGAGAGTAAGATACCTATAACTGCATATTATTTTAGAGTCGATTTGTCACATTTCTGTGGTGGATGACATTATCCTTAGAAACAACATATCACAAAGCATCCTAATCAATGCAAGCATGTAAACATCTTAAAGCATCTTAAATTTTATTAGGTATTGCTGGATTTCTTTTCACTCTCCGTTCTTAAGAGCCACATAATTATATATATGTGTGTGTGTGTGTGTGTGTGTGTGTGTGTGTGTGTGTGTGTATGAATGCATGGTTCAATATAATCTGAATCATAATGTAGGCTATTTTTCCTTGAAATTGATGACAATTCTAGAGATAACAGGCTGGAGTCCCATTCTGTTCTTCACCCAGCTCTTTCACTTACTCAGGAGAAGTAAGTAACTAGGGCAGAAAATAATGCTATAGTTTTTAATTTTCAGATGGGAGTAAAAGTAATTAAACTCACTTCTCATTTTATTTTTAATCCAAATACAATATCCCTGAGCCAAACCTATCAGCAACATAACATTTGTTTCTTTCTCTTATTAATTGGGAATCACAATATGTAACTCATTTTCTACATACCTGGGAATGTAGTCTTCAGTGTACCTGTATATTTTACCTGAAAGATATTCAAAATAGACAAATTAAAAGAAGTTTTGACATATATTTGTTAAATCCCCTAGAAAGGGTTGTGAGGGGGAACTTAGCCTCAATGTCAGTTAATATCTTTAATCAAACCGTTTGATCACCACTATTTGAACGAGAGATAATGATTGTCTCTAATTTGGGCCAATCATAGCCTGTGTCTGTTGGCAATTTGGGAGTGAAACACAGGGCAGCATAAGGAAGGAAATAATAAAAATTAGAGCAGAACTGAATGAAACAGAGAATGAAAATACTATACAAAAAATTAATGTAACAAGGAGCCAGCTTTTTGAAAAGATTTAAAACTGACAAACCCCTGGTTAAAATCACTAAAGAAAACAAAACGCTCATATAAACAAAATCAGAAGTGAAAAATGAGAAGTTACCACAGATATTACAGATAATACAAAGGATTATACTAAAATACCATGAAAGACTATACACCAATAAATTAAAAAACCTAGAAGAAATGGAGAAGTTCCTAGAAGTATATAGCCTTCCTAGAATGAATCATGAAGAACTGGAAAATCTAAATGGACAAATCAAAAATGAAGAAATTGAAACAACCATCAAAAAATCCCCAAAAGTAAAAGTCCAGGACCAGATGGCTTCACTATCGAATTCTACCCAACATTCAAAGAAGATTTGATACCCATCCTTCTCAAACTTCCAAAAAAACTAAAGAAAAAGCAATACTTTCTAACATATTTTATGAGGCCAACATAAATAACCCTGATATCAAAACCTGGCAAGGATAACACACACATACACACTCACACAGACTACAGACCAATATCTCTTGTTAATATAGCAAAAATCCTAATCAAAATACTAGCAAATAAAATACAACAATACATTAAAAAAATAAAATAATACATCATGACTGACTAGGCTTCATTCCGGGAGCACAAGGAGGGTTTAACAAACATAAATGAATCAATGTAACACACCACATTAAAACAAAGGATAAAATCATATGATCTTATCAATAGGAGCAGAAAAAACATTAGATAAGATACAACATTCATTTATGTTTAAAACACACAATAAAATGGGTATGGAAAAAAATACCTCAACATAATAAGGGCCATATATGATAAACCCCCAGGTAATATCATATTCAATGGCAAAAAACTGGAAGCTTTTTCTCTAAAAACATATAAGAATGTCTACTCTCACTGCTCTTATTTAATATGGTTCTGGAAGTCCTGGCCAGAGCGGTCAGGCAAGAGAAAGAAATAACAGGCATCCAAATTAAGGATGAAGAAGCAAAATATCACTTTTTTGCAAATGACACTTTCCTGAATACTCCATCAAAAATCTATTTGTTTATTGTTACTAGAAACAATAAACAAATACAGTTAAGTTTCAAAATACCAAGTCAGTGTACAAAAATCCACTCCTTTCCTGTATACTAACAATTAAACTTCAGAAAAAGAAATGATAAAAAAAACCAATTTATTTTGTAATTGCAACCCAAAAAAAAGAATATGTAGAAATAAACTTGAAACTCATATGGTCTTATTAACCACTGTCACCTCAATAAATTTAATGTTTGAAAAAACAGCAAAACGGCTTTTAAAGAAACAGTCTGGGTGCTGCAGCAACAGGACTGGTGAGTGGTGTGTAGGGCTGCAAAACCGTGAACAGATTCCGTGCCAACTCAAAGAAGGTAACCCAGGGACTGGTTCAAAGGCAAGTGAAAGGAAATATTTGTACTTTAAATTAAATATGTGTATTCAAAATGAAAAAAATAGTTTCCAGACATTTTTAAGTGAAAGACAGTAGATTTATAAGGAACTATTGAGGGAAATTAAGGCAAATTCAGAGTACAGCTATAATAAAACCAGTATTATGAAGAAGTGTGTCTTATCTGTTCATTAATAACTTTTCTTTGATGTTGAACTAGATGGATGTACATAATATTATATTTAATTTATTTTGATTAGGTATTATTTGACCTGGCATTAAAATAAAGTAAAAATTTTGCAGAAGTTACTTGCATAAAAGTGAACCCCAGTATTATCTATGTCTCGACCAAACACAGGACTTTCAGCCTTAACATGTGGAAAACTCTGTGTACTGGTAAAGAACTAGCACAGACATTTCCAAATAATTGAACGAATCATCAAACACTACAGAGATTATTTTTAGGAAGATTTACATGCAACAAAATTAAGTTATTCTCCAGAGAGATCATTAATTGTTAGAGAAGCATTATTGGAACAACCTCAAAATCCTCACATCGGAGGGATACAAGGGGCATGTCACAGGGCAATGCGTTTGGAATAATTCTGTGAAGGACCGAAAGCAGGAAGTTTTTGCAAAACATACACACAGAGCAGCCATGGGACCAAAAATGATGAATGTAATCCACTGGGGTATATCTAAAATTCTCTTCTGCCAGCCAGCAGGAAATGCCCTACCTAGCAAAAGCTGCATAATAAAAATGCAGTTGTTTTCAACTAACTTCAGATTAGTCCTGTGAATATGAAAGCATGTAGACCTAGGGAGAAGCAGAGAGATGTCTGCTGTTGCAATGGCAGAGTGAGAAATGTAAACAACTTCAATAAGCATAAGAATAAAAATTAGTTAATAAAGACCAAAAAAAATGTAAAGGGGAAAATAGAAAACATGTGGGGTTTTTTTGATATGGCAGAAATGTTTACACTCAGGTAATCAATAATTATTCAGGTTTGTCTAGAATTAAAGTGCATATCATATACAAGAATAGCCTGATGTGTCATGGAACAAATTCAGGGTGAGAAATAAGAAGACTTTGGATTTAAGCATTAGTTCTTTGATGTATTTGCCATGTGGCAACATGCAAATCACTTCAAAACTTTGTTCTTGGTTTACCCATAAGTAAGGATAATAATGCCTACATCAGGCAAATAGATGTAGACAATAAATAAAACAATTTTTGTAAAAACCTCATAGAAAATGACAAAGTTAATTTTTAATACTATACATTCTAAATGCATATCACATAACAAACCACAATTTAATTGTGCTGATTTCAATTGGGAAGTTACTTCATTAAATGGATTAGCTGAAAACAATGAATATAAGTACGATGCTATTTTGGTGATAAAATATTCATAAGTAAAGCTTGACTTAGAATGAAATAACCAAATCTCACCTTTGGCAGAGGCATGGTCACCAACTGAATATTGAATTGAAAGAAAAGATAAAAAATAAAGAAGTCAAAACAAAAATAAAGAGTGGCATTACTTAGAATAAGTAAAAATAACTATGGAGTAGAAATATTCCCCCAAACAAAGATTTTTAAAGAACAGTGTGTGTTTTCCATGGCGGTGGTTGGAGTGTGAATGCCAGTGCCTGGAAAGTACCCTGGTGTGATGGGTGAAAAGATTACCCTGTAGAACGGAAATGTGGTTGGACATATTGTCCCGAAAGAATAGCAAAGGAGTTTAGACCAAAAAGCTTCGTGAGGAAAAAAGTGGAAGCAATTATGCAAAGGATGCAATATACTAATGTAATGTGTAGGTAAAAGGAAATGAACTAAAACAATGTGAAGAAAAAAATAACTAACAGGTAAAAAAATTATATTGCAAGACCAACCATTTTGAAGAAGCACCCTAAAGAGGGGAATTATAAAGAAGAGTTCAAGGATACCGCTCTGTTCCAGGCCACTCTTAAAGCTTATATGTGTCACCTGGAGTTGGACTCCTGGGACAAGTGTAGCTTCAGTTTTACAATACTTTCTATGTGAAGTGTAATAGAATATGATCTCCTTAAAAAGGCTGGTAGTAATAAAAAAATGTAAAGGTTTCAGCTAAGGAGAAAGGTCGGCAAGCCCAGGCTCCTGAAAAGGTCTTGCTCTTACATGAGGGCTTGCAAAGTATATTTACATATAACTGGAATGATTTAAAAGCTACTTAATCACTTCAATAATTATCAGTAAAACAAAAAAACAGTTCTTATTTAGCGGTAAAGCAGTTATATTTGCAAGACTCTGTATGAGAAGAGCTGGGTGAGTTTTCATAACCCTCTCCTGTGATTCAGGTACAAACCTTTGTTTCTGATTCATGGTTGAGAGGGTGTGAGCAAACAGCTGCTTTTATGTTTTCCCTTTTATAGGGTTCGCCCTTCCATGCACACTACATAACAACAAGAAACAACAGCACATGGCTGAAATGCCATAATAAAAAAAGATTTGATACATTTTTAATGTGAAAAATGTGCCATAATTTTCTAGTGAATAGGAGAGATACTGATAAGACTTTGATGTATGAGCAAATCATATACTTGCTTTATCCTTCTCAAAACAGAGAAGAAAAGCTGGATAAAGAATACACACACACACACATACAGCTTTAAAGGAGAAAAAATGAATGCAATCCTATCAGAAGAAATAAGAAATAAACATAACCTTCCTAAAGAATAGATTTGGACCAAGAATCACATAAAAATGAAAGATTTATTTTTGGAGGGGAGGAAGAACTGCATTTCAAAGCTTCTACCTAGCACTGCTACAGAAAACGTCAAGGAGAGGCTTATCTTGCCTATCTGATTGAATGTGAAGATATTACCTTGTTGATGGGATAGAGGTTGTCTTTTGTAAGCTATTTAATACCTAAACAGTCAACTTACCCACTGACTGTTTGCCAAGGTGGAGTCATATCTTGCAAGTTTCTTAACCACAAAGAATAGCACAAAGATGCAAAAATATACAGTTGTATGAGGCCAGATACAGGGGTACTGCATTCCCAGACCAAGCGGCAGAAAAGCTGGTTTAGTAGGATGGAATCTCTTCTAGTTTATCTGTCTAGCAGAAACAAAGCAAGGAGGAATCTTCGAGAAACAGGAAGCAAGTTTGTCTGCAGAGCTAATCCCAAATCCACCTGGAATCTCTGGTTGAGAAAGAAAGATAGTGCTATTTGCTCATGTAATAGAAAGGAAGGCAATTATTACTAATACTTGGGGAAAGATATGGGGAGATGTTAGGGAGGTGGGAAGGGGCCACAGGCAGAAAAAGTGGAGAGGACAGGAAGGAAGGGCATTCTTTCAGGATAAATAAACATTGCTCCAAGGCTAATCTTAGGTTTGCACACTAATGAAGTGCAAGACCCAGGGTTGTGTGCACCACCTGAGGAGGATACATGGCATCTCAAATAAAATAATTTGCAATAGATTAATATTTAGAACCAATTCCATGAAAGATTACAGAAAACTCTCTAAAATGAACCTGTGTGTGACTTAAATGAACACAACCATTATTGCTAAAATTCAGGTGATTGTACAATCGTGTTAGTAAAATAGAGATGGGGACAAGACATGAGGTGGGAGCTGGAGAGGGCCTGGAGGGTGAAGGAATGGGGGGAGCAGAGAAGAAGCCAGAGGAACTAATGTTCACTCAGATGACGGACATTAACATTAAATGGGATAATGTTGCCATAGTGAGTTCTTTTTTTTCCTATTTATACTTTTATTTTTTTAAATTTTTATTTAGTTATTTTTCAAGTACAGTTTTCTGTTTATTTCTCCCATTCCAGCCCACCCCTCCCCCATGCTCCCCATTTCTGCCCCCCTTAGTTATCATCCCTGTGTCCTTTATACTTGTTCATCTAAATCCCTCTCATTTTTCCCCTTAAATTCCCTCCCCTCTCCTTTCTGATCACTGTCCCCCTGTTCTCTATTTCAGTGTATTTGTTTTTATTTTGCTTGCTTGTCTGTTTTGTTGTTTAGCTTCCTATTAAAGGTGAGATCATATGGTATTTGTCTTTCAACCCCTGGCTTATTTCACTCAGCATAATGCTTTCCAGTTCCATCCATGTTGTTGCAAAGGGTAGTAGTTCCTTCTTTCTCTCTGCTGCATAGAATTCCATTGTGTATATGTACATACAACAGATCCAGAGACACATGAAGAAATGCTCAATATTGCTAGCTACCAGAGATGCAAATTAAAACCACAAGGAGATACCACTTTACACCAGTCAGAATGGATATCATAAATAAAGCAACCAACAACAAATGTTGGAGAGGTTGTGGGGAAAAGGGGACCTAGGTCGTGGGGAAAAGGGTTCACTGTTGGTGGGATTGCAGACTGGTACAACCATTATGAAAAACGGTATGGAATTTTCTCAGAAAAATAAAAATCAACCTGCCTTTTGATCCAGCAATTCCACTGCTAGGATTATATCCTAAGAACCCCAAAACATCAATTTCAAAGAACCTATGCACTACAATGTTCATAGCAGCACAATTTACAATAGCCAAGAGCTGGAAGCAACTTAGGTGCCTGTCAGTAAACGAATGGACCATAGTGAGTTCTTAACAAATGTTTTTGGGATGAGGGTAGGAAGCACCAGGGTCACCCAGATGATGACGTGGGCTGTACACTGTCCAGGACTGACCAACTAGGTCCCTACCACTGTGCTCAGGTAGAGTAGTCCCTCCTTATCTGTGGTTTCAGTTACCTACAGTCAACTGTGGTTCGAAAATATTAAATAGAAAACCCCAGAATAAACAATTCATACATTTTAAATTGCATGCTATTCTAAGCAGCATGACTGAATCTCAATCTGTCCCACTACTCCCACTGGGCCGTGAATCAGTGAATCGCCGCCTTGTCCAGCCCATCCACCTTGTGTACACTCCCTGCCCATCAGTCACTTAGTAGCCCTCTCAGTTAGCAGATCAACTGTCATGGTGTCACAGTGCTTGTGTTTAAGTAACCCTTATTTTATTGAGATTTTTCTAATTTATTGTTAGCTCCTATTGTTAATCTTCTACAGTGCTTAATATAAAAATGAAACTTTTTCATATGTATATACATATGTGAAAACACATAGTATGTATAGGGTTTGGTACTGGCCATAGTTTTGGGTATCCGCCAGGGGTCTGGAACATGTCCCCCATTACTAAGGGGGACTACTTTGTTAATACAGTTATATACATGAACCCTATAGTCTTATGACATTTACAACATTTTGTATGTAAGGAAACTGAAACTCAGGGAATTCATACTACTTGTATAAAATCTCCCAGGTAAATCTTAAAAGCAGAGTTTTAATTCAATGCCAGGTTGACTTCAAAAACCATGATGTTAAAAAATATTGAAAGAACTAAAATAGATTTTTAAAAATACATCAATGAATGTAATTTGTTATTCTCTGTTTTTAAAAAAGGTCTAACCAAGGAACATGTATAAAAAATTTGGACAGCTGTAGCTGAACAACATAAAAAAAGTTATTTCCCTCTATACTGCCTCCAGGCAATAGGTTCATTTATGGTAAGCCAGAGGCAGTAAGGGTTTGTACAATTGCAAAAAAAAATCTGTTTTAAAAAAATAATAAAAGCCTGCTACTGTTTTTAGCAGTGATCTACTGACCATTCAAGTAAACAATTCTCCAAAGCAGTTTGTATGATGAAAAAATGGTATAGATATGCATAAATAAATTTCAAAGTACAAACTATAAAAATGAGAATCGGAAAACCCACTTGTTTCTCGACCCCACATGAATCTCCACAGGATTATCACTAGAATCAGTGGAAGACTGAGTATTGTCCAGATGCTTACTGTTGTCCTGGTTTCCACCTTAAATTACTTCACCTCTGTGGTTCAACTCACCTTTCTAACTCAGGTGAAAATATTTTCTGCCTTCATAAAATATTTTAATTAACATTTAAAATATATTCATTTTAAGTGATTATATAAAGAAAGGTACTGCTCTTGGCTCATTTTTTTTTCTGCATAGTAAGGAAACCTTTCCGAGAAGTTATCTGATGATGGGTCAATTGCACATCTGATACAAACTTTCAAAAATATTTTATTATAAAAGTAATCGCTGAAGTCATTACTAGTGAAAAAGTGCTGCTTGCCTGAACTTTTCTCTGAGGCGTAGAAATGGTATAATAGAGAACCTAGAAGAGTGTTGGGTTCCTGGCCAAGGACATTTGGTCAGCAACGCAAAAGCAGCATGCACTGGTAGAAGCTGTTTTGGACAGAGAATTAGAAAAACTGAGCACTTACCCGTGATTTTGCTATTAAATAGATGTGTGACATCACCTATGCCACTTTTCTAGTGCCTCTCATTTGTTTTCAAACCCACATAGCAATGATGCCTTCCTCTTCACATTTTATGTCACCATTGTGAGCACTGAAGAAGACACCCCTGAGAACCAAGGACTCACCCCAGAATCTGACCATTGTTTTAAATTAGTTGTATGCAACTTTTCCTGGTTACATGTATCTAACTTAGTTCAGTTAACTTCATTTTAATAACTTTTCATCTGTTATGTATTTTCTTTTCAATTTGTTAATTACCACCTAAATGCTCTGCCCCTATTTTTTTTTTTTGGTTCTAGAATATTAAGATCCCTCCCAAAGACTGTTGAACTTTCATATTTGTTCTTTTCTTTTATTGTTCTATTACCGTTGTTCCAATATCCCCCATTGCTCTCCCTTGCCCTGCCCTTCCTCTCATTGAGTCCCTACACTGTTGTCCTTGACCATGGGTCCTTTATACATGTTCCTTGACTTGACCCTTCCCCTTCTTTACCCTTTGACCCTCCTCCTCCCTCCCCTCTGGTCACTGTCAGTTTGTTCTTTATTTCCAATGTCTTTGGTTCTATTTTGCTTGCTTGTTTGTTTTGTTGATTAGGTTCCAGTTAAAGGTGAAATCATAAGGTATTTGTCTTTCACCTACTGGTTTATTTCACTCAGCATAATGCTCTCTAGTTCCATCCATGCTGATGTGAAGGGTAGGAACTCCTTCTTTCTCTCTGCTGTGTAGTATTCCATCATGTAAATGTACCACAGTTTTTTGATCCACTCATTTACTAATGAGAACTTTCATTTTTCTATCTATTCATCCATCATTCATTTTCCATCCATCCATCCAACCATTCATGCATTCATTGCACATATATTGAATGCCTACAATGTGCAAAGATTGTGCTTTTGCTGAGCATTGCATGATTTCAATAATGTAAAAGAGGGTAAAATTTATGGTTAAAACTGCTGCCCTGCTTATTGAAAAGAAAAGCAGACAGTGACAGGTCCCCTTAACCTTCCCTCCTTGCTCCTGGGAGTGTTTAAAAACAAGCGCATGGTTCATTCTATTGCTTTTTCAGTTTCTTTTTTGTGCCAATGAGCCATCTGTATTTTAGAGGTTCTGACTGATGCCAAGAAGTTTGAGTAGGCTTGTGTGGAAACTTAAAGAGCTAGCCTTCAATTTTCTCATCACACATCTGAGAGAATCTTTATGGCTGCACCAGAATAGGCTAATTTTATAGGTCATTCCACTGGAAGAGAAAAAATATGTTTTATCAAAACAAGCTCTTTCAACTCTATCACTTAAGGCAAAGATAAAGTTAAGACTGGGAAGCTTTTACATTTCTAATGTGATTATATTCTTAAATTAAGAAAACCCGTAGGGTAAAAAATGTATCAAATAGATTTTCTACAGATAAAAATATCCTGTTGAATAACATTTTATAAAATTGTCTGCCACTGTTTTCCAGTGAATCCGTCTCAACTCTAGCAAGCCCCCTCTGGCTATTTCTCATGTCTTACCTTGTCGCTGCTTTTCCAGATAGTGGGAAATGTTGAAGATCAGTGATATAACCAAAGCTAAAATCAAGGAGACTAGAATTGCCCACACATAAAACTGGCATCCAGAGTTTGCTGTGAAACAAAACAAACATACCCTTAGTATAAGTACTGGACTTATTGGGGAAAACACTTCATAAACCAGATAGAGATCTAATTGCTATGCTGTACATCTGAAATTAATATAAAATAAAACTTAGTATCAACTGTAAATGAAAAATAAAAATAAATAAAATAAAATGTGCTATCAACTCAAATATGTATATAGTAGCTGCTTACCTATTTTTTTGAACTAGATTACACAATTAAAACTATTGAATTCATTCACAAAAAAGGATAAATCCTCTGTCAAGAAATTAATTAACATTGAAAGTCAAAGACTTCTTACAGCTTTCTAAATGGGTATTGGTAAAAGTCCCTACATTCAACATGAGCAAAAAGAAGCATTCTTAGTGTTAATGACAAAGAAAACATTTTTAGTCTGGCTACTAAAATTTAACAACTGGTGACTGACTGATCATAAAATCTTTGGTTCAAAATCAAGAATACCCAAATTACTCAGATAATACTCTGCTATAATTAAACTATTAGACTATTTGTAGTCTTTCATCCTTAGACTATTTGCTTTCATTATTTGTGCAAAACTACTTCCTTCTGTTATTCCCAGTAGTGTAAGATACTGTGTGTTGGGATAAATCAATGATTCTGGAACCATAGAAACCCAGTTTTGTCAACACTGGCCATAAAGAGCTTTTCTCATATTATTTAAATCCCCATGAATGGATAATGGATAATTCATTGTTTCCCTTTCTCTTCTGTGAAGGCTTCTTTTTTCATTCCTAAGCCATAAAAGGGTTTCTGTGGGATACAATTGCCTATTAGTTGCCATTGATTATTTATGGCAATCTTTATACAGATATAAGTGACTACTAAGATAATTAGCTTGATTTTATATATACAATATATATTACACATAAATTACATAACTTACTATATACAAAATTATTTTTATATAATATATAACCATATGTATATATTACATGTTAGCCTAATTATGTATATTAACCTAATATATATGAATCTAATATCATAACCAGCTTTTAGATTGCAATATACATATATGTAATTAGGTTAATTATCTTAGTAGTCATATATCCATGTGAATGCTGACCCCAGAAGAGTAACTTGTGATTCTATAATACTGTATATTTATGGGTTCAACCAGTACTAATTGGACATCTCTTCTGTGCCAGAAGCTGTGCCCCATGTTAGGAACCAAAGATAAAGGAAACAGCATCTTGCTCTCGAGGAACTCTCTGTTTAGTTGGGGGCAGGGAAGGGGAAAAATGTATAAACCCATAATTAGATATTCATGAACCGCAATATGTAAATAGCTACAGCAGAGATTGTTGTGTACCTTCCAATCCCAACTCTCTGTGACTATCCAAAATACAAAACCATTTTAAGCTCTTTAAAAAAATCTGGCATTAAACACAATAAACAGCACAAGCAAAACCTTAACAGGAGGAAAATTAATTTTCCTTCCCTAGTTTGTCTTTAAATAATCCAATAAAAAATACCTAAACTCAAATGTTCTTTGTGCTGCTCTATTTTACTAATAATCTTTATCTCAGATTTGACATTTGAATGGCTAATTATTTTCTTTTTTAAGTATATTTTATTGATTATGCTATTACAGTTTTCTCAATTTTCTCCCCTTTGTCCCCCCTCTGCCCTGCACCCGCCAACCCTCCAGCATTCCCTCCCCTTAGTTCATGTCCATGGGTTGTACACATAAGTTCTTTCAATTCTCTGTTTCCTATACTATTCTTAACCTCTCCTTGTCTATTTTATGCCTACCAATTATGCTTTTAATTTTCTGTGCCTTTCCTCCCTATTCTTTCCCTTCCCCTCCCCACTGAAATTCCTCCATGTGATGTCCATTTCTCCGATTCTGTTCCTATTCTAGTTGTTTGCTTAGTATTTGTTCTCATCGTTGTTTTTTTTTAGGTTCAGTTGTTGATAGTTGTGAGTTTGTTGTCATTTTACTGATCACAGTTTTTGATTTTCTTCAATTTCTTAGATAAATCCTTTTAACATAATACGGGCTTGGTGATGATGAATGGCTAATCGTTTTCTTTGAATACCTGTTGTCCTTGCCGTGGTTGCCGAACTGCCTCAATGGTCCTGTCTATTTTGGTTGGCTTTATTTATTTATTAGTATTTATTCACTCATTCATTTATTTTATTTTTATTGAGTTCACTGGGGTGACACTGGTTAACAAATTTATACAGGTTTCAGGTACAAAATTCTGCATCACATCATCTGTGCCTATATTGTGTTCACCACTTCAAGTCCAGTCTCTGTCCATCATCATTTGTCCCTCCCACACCTTCCTCAACCTCCCTCCACCTCAGCAATCACCACACTGTTGTCTGCCTGCTCTCTAAGCATACAGACGATTAAATACAAAAAGTATATCTATGTATTTGACATAGATGTACATGTGCATATAATTTGCATGTCACATTCTTATATACATTGCTTTTGTTTGAACTAGTCTGTGCTTCTTATAACACCAGAAAATCTGCCTACTAAGGTTTGCTATCTCCTCTCTAATTCTGTACTGTGTCAGTTAGATGATCAAGATACTGTATGTTGCACAATAAATTGGGATGATTTTCTGCCTCCTACTCTGCAATGCTGGACATAAAATATATGATTTATAAAAAAATGTCAAGAATTAATAAAGAAAAATTAAGTGAAAATGGTAGGAAAATGTGTGAATTTCTTTTCTTTAATTTTTTTATATTACATAAAGTAAAAAACAATTGAGATGACTTGAATAGCCTTTTATCTTCCTTAATAGCACTACCAATTAATTTGTTTAAAAACACTAAGGTTTAGAGGGGACTAATTTATTCACTAGGAACATAATCCTATAAATATTTATGAGGATTCTATAACAAAATATTTATTAACTTTTAAATATAATAATGCTAGGTATTGTATGATACTGCATATATTCCTAGAATTATTTATTTGCTATTTATGTTTAATTATATATTTTGAAAAGGTCACACATGACTTCTGAATGTAAATTAAAAATTCTAGCAATACCAGGATGTAAAATAACATGTAAGTTCCTTTATTAATACATAAATGGGACACTGATATTAAACTAATTGGCTTTTTAAAAAGATTACCACTGTATTTGGGGGGATATTTACCATGCTAATACGTTAATTTTAGCATTTGCATAGAATCCCAAAGCATTTGCTATAATTCATCTACTTATTTCTTTAAGAGGAACATTCTGATGTTTTAAGATGTTTTTTTCCTATAAGCAAAATACAGAACACTCCATTAAACATTTTATGCATACATGGACTATTTGTAGAAGAGGTTCCTGAGAATAGACTTGCTGTGACAAAGGGAATTTTTAAAGCACTCTTTCAGGGAGCAATTGATCCCCAGATCCCACTGGTAATAATCTCTCTCAGGTGGTTGCTTTAACATAATTATGGAAAATGGAGCCAGCAAGCTGTCTCACTTGTCAGATGGGTCTCAGTTTCCCTCATTGCTAACAATTTTACAAAAATATTAATTTCTGATTTCTATCATTAAATTAATGATTTTTATTATTAAAGATTTTTTTCTTGTATATGTCATGGAACCACAGTCTAGTTACAATCCTAAGTCCTTTCACATTTTAAAGCAGTATGAGGGTACACACTATATTTTTCTATTGAAAAACAGAAAAAATATTTCAGGTTACTCAGGAAGCCAAAGTAGAGTGTATTCATTCACTCTCTAAAGTCATTATATTTGGGGAAATTTAAATAAATTAACTTTAACTGTTACATCATCCATGTTGAATGTTGCACAACAATTAGTAAACTCAGAGAAGCAAAACCACAAAGGTAAGAATCAACCCCAATCTTATTATCCAGAGATGATCACTGTGCAGTTTGTTTATTTCCAAACTTATGATTCTCTGTGTATAAATTATTGTAGACAGAGATATAGGACTCAATTATACAGACTGTACGGTTATTTTCTTTTCCTCTCTCAAAAGATTCTTTCATTTCCTTCAGCAACTCTGCATTCCACTGCAGCGGTTTCCCATAGTTTATTTAAACAATCCCTTATTGTAAGATATTTAAGTTGCTTCTAATTTTTGGTTATATAAACAATGTTGTGATGAATATCTTTAGCCAAAGCTGTATACTCATCTTGGGTTTTTTAGGTAAAAATTCCTGAAGAGGAATTGCTGGGTCAAAGGATATACACATTTTAAAGGAATTTGTTATCTTGATGTTCACGGTTTTAAAACACAATACCAAGCTAACCGTTCTCAGGTCAGTCTGCCCTCTTTCACATTAGTCCAACTGGCCCTGACATTACATTTATCGCTCTTGTTTAATCCACACTACGTCAGCTACCACTCAGGATCTAGCTCTCTCCTTCCACACACTGTCCTCATACATTCCACTGCTCCGTGACTTCTGGAGAAAGTTGTCTCCTTGTCTTCTTGCTGAAGTCTATGATATAGGTCTTTCAAAAGAAGGGGCCTGTTCCTGTTTCTGCCCTAAATATACAGGACATTCCACTTTCTTTCCTCGCCATGATATATTTCTACAAGATGTTATTTTAGGTTTCTTTAAATTGCAAGTATTCGCCCTGCCCTGTGTAGTTCAGTGGATTGAGCATGGGCCTGTGAACCACATGATCGCGGTTCGATTCCCAGTCAGGGCATATGCCTGGGTTGCAGGCCAGTGCCCAGCAGGGGACTTATGAGAGGCAACCATACATTGATATTTCTCTCCTTCTCTCCTTCCCTTCCCCTCTGAAGATAAATAAATAAAATCTTTTAAAAAATTGCAAGTATTTTAGGACTTGCCAGCTATACCCACCCAATAATACACTGTGTTCTAGTCATTCTGAAGCATTTGCAATTTTCAATAGATACCATATTCACCATTTTGTTTCTTCATGTCTCTGTGCATTTGTTCCTTAGTCTGAAGTACCTCTCACCTCGTCTATTCCTAACCATCCTTCAAGTCTACCTTCT